TTTTCTTCTTCAACTGTCTGGTGTACTTGCAACATTCCACACCCACCTATGCTCCTTGGTGTTATAAATATTAATATTAATATAATATTAGTAATATTAAGCCTATTAATATTTATATCATTAAAATAGTTCATCCTGTGATTAATGCTTCTAACATAATTATAATAGTGTTTAAGACTGAGTTGTAAAATGTGTGCCAACACATTTATTATTAAATCTGTTTTTAAATGTGTATTAAAATTTACCTATTTACAAATTTACAGATAGACTGTGCTAATTATTTGTCACAGCCGAGCATACAAATTTGGGGAAAATATCATGTTAAGGGACTTCTCATATAATATTTAAGATATTAATATAATTTGTGCCTGACTATATTATACTTAACAAAACAGTATTACTTTGCATCATGTATTGCCTTAGTAGATATGGATTTTTAGGCACTGTGTGCAGCTGGCTATTCTGAGCGAGAGGTATTTTCATTCTCTTTTTCTTTTCTTTCTGTTTAGAACTGGATGATCATGCACCACTTTGCAATTGTACCTCCACCACCCTCTGTTCCATATTTTCCCAAGGAATATATTATTTGTACCCCTTCAATATTGAGTATCACATTTTAGCATCCACAATGCTGTATGTGGTCTGGAAGAACATTGGGCGCAAAGTTGAATATCTTCATCCACATAAGATGCCATTCAAGTTTCAGGGCAAAGCAATAGGCACTATCTTAGGTCTAGTGGTGTTTACTACAACAATAGCAGTTGTAGTTGTTTATCTTATTCAGATTGGGCGTTCAAAATTAAAGAGTGAACTAGCGCTTATTATGTTTTACTTGTATGCCATCACAATACTGGCACTCATGTGCGCAGCTGGCATTGTAGCGCTTCTAATCTATAGACTTGAAGATAAGTCACTGGATGTTTCCAAAAATCCAGCTAGAAAACTTGATGCAGACCTCTTGGTGGGAACAGCTTCAGGCTCCTGGCTTCTTTCTTGGGGTTCCATTCTTGCAATCATCTGTGCTCAGTCCCATCCAGCATATACATGGTTCAATTTGCCCTACTCTGTGCTTGTGATAATTGAGAAATATATTCAGAACCTCTTCATAATTGAATCCATACATCGTGAGCATGACAAGATTAATGATGACATTAAAACCCTTCGAATTTTAACGGTGTCCAGTGGAAGCAATCTGTCCCCTACAGCTTCCTACAAAGAAATCTATAATGAAACAAATGGAGAGTTCCCATCCATATTTCATGGAAATAGTCGTCCACCTGAGAACAGTTCTGGGTGTGCTTTGGAGGAAAACATCAATCAGAGCAAGATTCCAGTCCCTCCATCCTCTTCGGATTTCTCATTCACTTGGAGAAACTTCTCTGTCAACAGCAAAAGAAGTATCCTGAAGAATATTGCTGTATTTTTGTTCTTATGTAATCTCTCAGTAAGTATTATTAAGAAATAATGCCATTTCTTCCTGTAGCTGGACAATTGCTATTGGTGTGTTTTGCCTTTAACATTAACTTGGTCTGCAGAAATCAGAAGGTGAAATTATTCCTATCCATGTAACTCTTGTCAAGCCGCTTGTATGAGCACAACCACCAGAGGCCAGATGAACAGTTGGCAGTCTTGTCTTTGGACCCTTTTCTCTTCCAAAGAGTAAGCACAGATTGAACTAATTAACCATTTTACCTGCTCTTCAACCAACAAAGATAGCCAGATTAGCTTAACATATAAAAAAACCCCTCAATTTCTTCCCACAAGCCAGCAACCAAGAGCCACACTCAAAAGGGACAGGAATTGGGAAGAAAGAGGGTGGCCTGTTCTAGAAAGTACAAAACACACACAGAGCTCTGCTGGGCAGAGTCCAAAATTATTATATGCCCCCTCCCCCAAAGGAAGCTTTTATCTCCTATGGGCAGAAGGGCTTCTCAGCCATATTAACCAGCTGACAGATGCATCAACTTTTATTAAACTGTGTTTTGCAGTTGTATTACAATTTATGCTAATTAACAGTGCTAGATGCATTAAATGTTCATGTACCAATTAGCAAAACAGGTTAAATGTTATCAAAAGCAAAATCGATGCCCTACAGCAAACATCCCTGTGGTTCAGTATGACTCTGGTTAGCTGAGAGTTCTACTGCAGAATGGCTCATCCATTTTCCAAGGCACCAAGACTGTGTTTCAGAAGCAAAATGGTTTTTGAAGGATTACCAGCCAGTGGGAGGCTTGGAACTGCATTCAGAGATGGTTGTAGAGAAGCAGTGGTGCTGTTTAGAGAGTAGCTCCAGGAAGTTTCTGAGCCACTCTTTTTAACCAAAAAAATGTGAGAAGACACCAAATCTGCAGTCCATTCAATACAGAAGATAAAACAATAACAAAATAATAAAGATTACAACACTAACCATTATACTACCATAGTAGAAGGGCACAGGCTTCCACAAGGGCAGCAGGCCAAAGCCAATTTGTTGTGGTTGATCCCAGTTGAACAAAAAGCCAACAGGTCTCCCTCAGGTGGCAGAAAGCAAAGCATGTTGGTCCAGCCTGGCTTCAAGGGGAAGAGAATGCCAGGGGCCAGGTGCCACAGCCAAGAAGGCCCTCTACCGGGTCTCCATAGCTATGTGACAAGGGGGGAGTGCCTGCCACCTAGATTTAGCAGGTATATCCTGCCAAATACTGGCCAATAGCATATTGACAGCCATTGCAGTTTTTCAAGGCTCTTTCAAAGGGTTCCAGAGAGCAGCTTTGCCGCTGCATCAACTCAAAAGATAGTTATAAAAGCTGCATTTCTGTAGTCTAAAATGTGACCAAGTTAATGGACTACTGTGGCCAGGTCATTGCTTTCAGGAAAGGTCACAGCCAAAGTGCAGCCACCATTCCTAAATGCCCAGGCCACCAAGCACACTTGGTCCTCCAGTGGAAGTCTCCACATCTTGGCTGCAGAAGTCTGAAGGGTCACTAGATGACACATAGAAATGGCTCATTGCTGCCACCTAGCAATGGATGTTCCCTGGATTTTTGCAGTCCAGATATGATAGGCCAACTCAAGTGACAGATGAATTCAGCAGAAGACAAATTTTAGAACAGGAGAACATCTGCAAGCTTGGAAGAAAGTCTCTTCAGGTTCGGTGTATTTATTACTATATTTTTGTTGTTAGATTTTTATCCAGATAAAAATCCAGGAGCTCTAGACAGTTTATATAAAACTCCCTCTTGCAATTTTTCTCCCATAACAACAACTTTGTGGAATCAGTTGGGCTAAGAGACAATCCACCAAGGAGCTTCCATCCCTGAGGGGATCCTAGAACCTGGGTGTCTCTGGTCTTAGTCCAACACCTTCACCGCTTTGGTTCTCGCTGGGTGATGACACATCCCATTTATTTAATGAGAGGAAACAGTGAATTAATGCCCAGAAGGAAACCTGTTTGCAGTGATTTACTGCATGTCTAGGGAAGGGGAATATTGGTGACACTTTCTGTTGGATTTACAGAAAGGTAATGGCTTGATTATGTTTACATGATTTAAAAGTACTATAGGAAAATACAGAGGAAAATAATAAATCTCTAATTTATTTATTATCTATTTACATGTGAAGGAATGGTTGGATGAAGGCCGGGCTCGGGGAGATAAGCATTCCTTTAGCCCCCAACAGGAGCATGGGAAGTTTAAGAAGAT